GGAGGCTCCAACACGACTCTCGCAAATCAGTTGCCGCTCGCGCGCGCAGTGACGGCAGAAATAGACGTATTATCTTAACCGTAATTTAAATTTCGATGGGTCTACCCTGGCGGGACTGCACGCTGTATGAAGTAATAATAACTCTAAATTGAGGGCTAGACTCATTTTTGCGTGTATTGTCTGACAATAACAAGGAATAGGCAATTAAAAGCGTAGGTTTTTTATTTTCGTTTCCTTTAATTTAATATGCAAAACGCATCAACGAAACATGAAAAAAACCCTTACTTTAAAGAAGAAAGAAAAACATATTTACCTACACAACCTATTAATCGAAATGGCACCCAAATGCATATACATAAATTAAGAAAATTCTATTGAATAAAGGAAAATTCAAAAAAAACAAATATTCAAAACCAGGCCACCAAAAACCGATACATATTTTGCAAAATAAAAATAAAACAAGTCTCCGTCATCTAAGTCACTGTTTGAGGAGTCTCACGTCGCGACTAAGTGATTAAAATCTCGCGCCGGGTAAAAACAAAGAGGGCGAAATGTACAGATGAATTTAAATGGATGCTGTACAAAAGCTGCTAGCGAGACGGGTCTTGTAACGAGCGAGTCGGTACGGTAGACAGAGCACCGCTCTCCCCTCGGACACAGTTGCCGCGTGAAAGCCCTCAGTCCGTCTAAGCTGTCAAGCTTTGATGACGTTCGGATCAAAGTCAAGGGTTAACGACACTAGAACATATACTTTTTTAATACAATTAAGACATGAGAACAGCCCATTTTATAAGTAATCGCTAAGTCGACACAGAAGTCCACTATATCTATTCCAGATTAGGAATCAAAATTCAAACACATATGTGACTCTTAGGTACTTTATCATAAGTTATCGTCACAAAACGTGGTCTTTCTCTGATCGAGACGACCAATTCATGCTGCAGGCATAATGCAGCTGATTATATTAAGTACATAGCTATCACAATCACAATATCGCTGCTGCTTGATAGAGCCACGCTGCAGCTATATTATGGATGACCAGGTTGTAGTACACATAGGTTGACCAGGGTAGGACCACGCTCTCATAGAATACCAACGTAAAAAAGTAGTTTAATTGCTGCTTTTTACTAGAAACGAGGCAATTATCTTAGTCCTCTGGGGTGACAACGCATCTGCATTTTGATTCTTAATTGAGGATAAATGTAAATGTCTATGGGGCTACAGCATCCACCATAGGACCATCAGGTGGACTGTGAGCACGTTTGTTGCCCTTATTCTATTAAAAAAACATATTGTATAACGTCATGCAACTAAATCACAGTACATTGTCAAACAAAACATTTTCCATTAAACATCGCGTCGACACCCGGACTAGTATAATCGCGCCAGTATAAAGTTTTCAACTAAAACTAATCTAAAACGGCCAACACAAAACATTCCTACCGGAAAGCTAAAAGCAAATACTTGGCGAGTAATTTATCACATATTGGAATTCCGGACAATAAGAATCGAGACAGAGTGGAGATGCATGAGCCCAGATCCAATTAGCCTCTGCGTCAATAGGGTCTCCATGGTTTTATATTGCATCGGGAAAATGTAGTGGGATGAAATCATTTTTGTTTATTTTTATAATTTCAAATATTAAAGCAGACTTTAGGAGGCAAGCGTAAGGATTAGGACAATTCCTTCAATTTTAGCATAAGCTAGAGCCACACTGCAGTTATATTATGGTTGTAGCACTCGGTTGGCTCGACCGGGGATGGACCAAGCTCTCACAGAATACCAGCGTAAATAGCAGTTTAATACTGCTGTGTTTCGTATGGTGAGTGTAGAGATCCGAATATATAGGGTATATAGGGCTCTTCCACGAAAACATCCAGAATATTCCAGAATATTCAAGTAAATACGCGCGCCAACCGACCAGGCGCAGAACATTCGAGTGTGGGGCTTCTAGAAAGCCTAATTCTTCTGTTCGATACTAGATGGCGCGGTTGGTCGAAAGTCAGGATTGAAATTTTCTAGGAAGCCCTCCTCCCTCTGGTCCCCGACATTAGATGGCGCTAGTTCCAGGTACCTGACGTCAACTTAGAGAGATGTTCTTCTTCTTAACCTTTCTTAGGTTTTGAAGGCCTGCGGGTGTCGAGGTAGCCCTCATTACCCGGACTTCTTCGCGTGGGAGGCACGGCTCTCACGGTCCTGGGAACTGCGCTTTGGCGCAGTTTATGTGTTGATGTTTTGCGTACTTCACGCCATCTGTTCTGGTGTCGGGACTCTCACTCGTCCCCGGCGTCCCCCTCGCCGGGCGGTGAGCGCAGAAGTTCACGTGGGAGTGGTCGCCCGTCTGGTGGGCGCGCGTGTAGCGGAGCTATGTTGCGTAGATGTTGATGTGGTCCGTTGTCTGCGCGGTCGTACAACCGTCTCGCAGTACGGACCACAAATTCGTGGATGGATTCCATTTTGAGATCACGCGCTATGACGTCGTTTCTTACGTAACGGCCAGCTCCCACGATCACTCGTAGTGCAAGGTTCTGCTGGGCCTGCATCTTCTTGCGCTGCGTGGCTGAGGTCAACGCGTACCAGGCTGGTGCTGCGTATGTCAGCCGTGAGCGGACGTAGGTCTTGTAGATGCCTATTTTGGTGTTCCTTGGGAGTTTGGATGCCAGTATGGGGTTCAGCTTCGCTCGCGCGGCTCTGGCCTGTCTCACGACGTGGTCGACCTGCGGGTTCATTCGCAGCGAGCGATCGATCTGGCATCCGAGGTAGGTGATGGTCGTCCTCCAACCTATGTCCTGCCCACGGAGTTGCAGTGTTGGTGGTGTCCTTCTCAGCCTGGTCATAAAGGCGGTGGTCTTCCCGACGTTGACCGCCATCCTCCATTTGTCCAGCCAATCTGGTAGCAGGTCCAGCAGTCGCTGCAACTTCTTTGCAGCGTTTTCCACCCGACGAGATGATGTGAAGTACGCACTGTCGTCTGCATATAGTGCAAGGACGACGTCCTCTTCCCACTCCTCCAGCTGGTCTTGGAGTGTGGGGATATCGTTAGTGTAGACCGCGTACAAATGAGGTGATAAGCAGCTGCCTTGTGGCACTCCCGCTTCTATCGGTCGTGCTACCGAAACAGCCCCTTCTAGGCTGACTTGAAAGCTCCGCCCCTCCAAGAACGACGCTATTAGCCGCACAAGCATCGGCGGTATGGTGGTGTGTTCGATTAGTTTGAAGATTAGCCCTGCGTGCCACACTCTGTCGAAGGCCTTCTCCATATCTAGGAGGACCCCCATACAGATGCGGCCGCGGTTATGTTCGGCCGCAAGATAGTGCAGCACGCGGGCCAGTTGAGCAGTTGTTGAATGTGCTCTACGGAAGCCGAATTGTTCGTCCCGTAGAGCGATGTGCGGCGTGATTTTCTTTAGTAGGATCTTTTCGAATAGTTTCGCTATGTGCGGCAATAGCGTTATGGGGCGGTAGCTAGCCGGGTGCCTCCTGTCCTTCCCCGGCTTTGGTAGCACGATGATTTTTCCCTTCTTCCAAGTGTTGGGGAAGTGGCCAGTTCTTAAAATGCCGTTGAACAGCCTGGTGAGTTCCACTATCCCCCCTTCTTGGCAGCTGCTTAATAGCCATGGTGGTGACTCCGTCGAATCCCGGCGCTTTACGGGCGGGGAGGCGCATGATAGTGCGCGCTACCTCTGTTGGCGATATAAAGTCACTGCCCTTTAGTGGTGGCGCCGGATTCGACAGGTATTCATGTACGCGGTCTTGTATGCTTGTTGCATGTTCTGTGTACCCCTCCGCTATGGGGTTGGTTTTGAATTGTATTTCCAGGTGCTGTGCCATCATTTCCACCCTTTTTTGGGCGTTGTAATAGCGTTTTCCCGTGTTGTCCACTAGTGGGCATGCCGGTGTGGGAGTCTTCGTGAGCTGTCGGTTGAGGAGATGTAGGGAGGCGGGTGTTTCTGACGCTTCATCAATTCGTTTATCCCATGCTTCTCCCCTATGTTTTCTTATTGCTTCCGACAGCTCTTCCGTCAGGGTGTTTAGCTTTCTTTTGATAAGTGGGCATCGCGTCCGTGCCCAGAGCTTCCGTAGTCTCCGCTTCTCGGAGAGTCGTGCTTGTAAGTGTTATGGGAGTTCCTCTCTTCGGCGCCCTGCAGAGACAGGGTGTGAGTGGAGTTTCAGTTGGTCTTCAATTGTATTATTTAGTTGTAGAGCCGCTGCCTCTACATCTTCTTTGGTTAGTATGTTGGCGCCGAGTCGGAGGTCCTCCAGCGCTCTACGGAAGCGGGTCCAATTAGTTCTCATTTTCAACTCTCTGGGCACTACCGCGTCCGCACTTGTATCGATGGTGAACAACACGGGGAGGTGCTGTGTGTCCAGATCATACAGCACCTCTAGCCGTATTGGGTACGGCATTTTATGGCACAGCACTATGTCAAGGACATCGGGCTGGTGTTCTGGGTTGGTAGGGATGTGGGTGGGCTCGTCTGGGCCCAGGACCTCGTACCCCCAGTCTTCTGCATCTTCGATCAGTTTCTTCCCGGGAGGGGTGATTATCGTGGAGCCCCAAGCAGGATGCTTTGCATTGAGGTCTCCAGCGATAATAGCAGGTGTAGTTGCGTCAAATATTTTTCTTATGTCCTGGGGGTAGAGTTGGGCACCGGGTGGTCTGTAGGCGGCATAAATTCTGACTTCTTTAGTGCCCACCTTCATCCTAATCCCTTTTGTCCTTGTAGTGGCGAAGTTCTTGTCTGTTTCCACTTCTTCGTGTATGACGTCTCTTCTGACTAGTGCCGCAGTACCTCTGTACGCGACACCTTCAGGGGATACTTCGTCGTGTCGATACACGAAGAAGTTAGGAATCTTCAGTTGAGCGGAGGGGCGTAGCTTTGTTTCTCCCAGCAGTACAATCTGGATATTGTACTGCTGGACCAGCAATCGGAGTTCGGAGGTTTTTCCGGCGATACCTCCGGGGTTCCAGTATAAAAGTTTAAGTTGTCGGCCCTCTATTAATGGCTGACAGTTGGGCTAGGGCGCCTAATATCGCCGTTAGGGGGGTTGGACCCCGTGGTCATGGCGTTTAATACGTCACCCAAAATCTTGATGACCACTCCCACTACCTCCGTGAGGGCTTCTTCTACGGTGGTTGGTATATATGGGGTTTGTGTGGCGGGTGTGGCGATTGTTGCCTTTCTTCGCTGATATTGTTCTCGGGGTTGATTTGCTTGTTGTCGTGTTTGTTGTGGGGTATAGTTGGGAGGGGGGAGCACTCTTGTTTCTACTGCTGGAGTGGTCGCTTTCTTTTTCTTCCTCCTCTTCCGCTTCTTTTTGGGGGCCATGTTGCGCTCTGTTGGACCATTTGCTGGTGGGGCTAGTGTTGTCCTTGTTGTCACATGCGCAGTTGGAACTGGTGCTGGCGTTGGGTGCTGTTGAGGTTGTTGTTGTTGTTGTTGGATTTGTTGGGGTTGCTGCAGCTGTTGATGGGTTTGATGTTGTGATTGTTGTTGCTGCTGCGGCATTCTAGTTGTTTGTGGAGGCATCTGCGGCTGTAGGTTTATGCCTCTCTTTCTCGCAATCCGCTGCAGCACAGGGCACCGGCGGTCGTTGGCTGCGTGGGCCTTGGTGCAGTTGGCACATTTTGGTTGTGCGTCGCGCGGTTTCTGGCATTCCGCTGCGGGGTGGTTACCCGCGCAGCGGACGCATTTGAAGGGGCGGTGGCAGTTCACTGATGCATGCCCAAATCCTTGGCATCTGTGACACTGCGCAGGGCCAATTCTGCCCTGCCAACCCTCTATAACGATTCCCGGCATGTACAGTAACTCATTTACTTTATAGAGCCGGTTGAGCTCTTCCGGGGGGAGGTGGTCCAATTTGACGTGGAATAGGCATCCGGGTCTTCCCCTTTTAGGTGGGATCGCTCTTACGAATGTGACGGGAAAGCCCATTTCCATGAGCGCATCCTGGATGTCCTGCGGGTTTGTATCTGCAGGGAGTCCTCTTATTCCCACCTTCGTGGGCTGTTCTTCACGTGGTGCATAACAGTACCATGCGATGGTGGTGTCCTCTCTGCTTTGTTCTATGAGGTATCTTTGGATTTTTCTATATTCTTCTTCCGATTGGGGCCGGAAGCGTACCCCTTTGCCAAACGGGCGAGCGTTTGGGGCGTGTCCAATTATGTTATGTAATATTTTGAAGTGCTTCGCCCAGTTTGGGAAGCACTCCACTATTATTGGTGGATACTTTGCCGCTGTTGGTTTTTCAGTGGGTGGTGTTGGTCCCGTTGTTCGTGGAGATGGTGGTTGCGTCGCTTTGGGCGCGGCCGCTATGCGTGCGTACGTGTTTGGGGCTATCGATGGTCCCGGCACGGGTTCTGCATCCATTTCTTGGGTGTCAGTTGGGATGTCTGGTAGGGTCTTTGTTGGTGACGGTGACTTTGGTGGGTTGATGTGTCTTGTTATAGGAGCATCCAATTTCCTCTCCGGAATAGGTGGTGGGGTAGATGAGTCTGATTCTTCATCCGATGACGGTGTGCGTGACCCTGGTTTGGGCCTCTTTTCGTCTTGGAGTTCATCTGCTTCTGTTTGTGGTGGTGCTCGTTTGACCGCGAGGCGGGATGTGGTTGCCAATTCCTGGCTTAGTGTCCTAATAACCCGGCTGGTAATGGGTGTGGGACTAAGTGGTGGACTTCCGATTCGTCTCGGGATTTGGCTGACCGGGGGGATGACTCGTGACTTCTCAGGATCGAATAGATTTCTTTCCATGAGGGGTCTGTCCAGAACCCCTGGTCGCCTGTCTGGTGGTCTTCGGGGGGGTGGGGGGGTTCCCCCTTGTCCGTCATTTTCTTGGTAAATTAATTAATTAGTGCACTGCCCTTGAGCAGTCGCACACCTTACTCCCCTCAGCGCGTGCTACCACACCGGGTGAGACCCTGGGGGAGGCCCAGCGAGGCGCCCGCGAGCAGGGAGGGGTGTGCGAGTCTCTGGTGGGATGGGCGTGTATACACTGGAGTGTCCTTCTTGATCAAGAAGGATGTCCAGTGCTGATGCCGATTCTTGTGAGGTCAACTTGTAGTTCGCTGCGGAGAATGCCAGTGACGGTTCAGCGCTACACGGAGCAAGCTCAACGTTTAGCGGAATCGCCGACTGGCAACACGTAGTCTTCCCAGAACGTACACTTAATACGACACGTGAGCGCGACTAAGGCACGTCTGTTCAGTAGCACGGTCCACAACGAATGATATCGATAGATGTCAACTTAGGCGCGCAACAATATTATAGAAAGCGTGATTCAAAAAGTACGTTTTTGTCTGTTTAGTCTGCAAAATCAGGCTGACTATTCAATGCCTTTAAAGATTATATGTTTAGTTAGTGTATATTGAAAAGCCAAAATTCAGCACTTGATTTATATGTTATAATAAATACCTGTTAATAAACGGCGTTCGTCACATTATCTGAGAAATAAAATGTTGGCAGGTCATACTTTGACGACTACGTGGCACAGTGGCTTAACAATTAGTTGCAGTGCTATGAGCCACGGTTTCAAAACCCACGTCTTTGAAGTGTTTGTTAACTTACAAATAACAGTTCTGGATCTAGATGTTAGTCCATTTGCAATTTTATATGTAGAACGCTTTCAAGATACGCGACCAAACTCTAAACTACTGCGTTACCTAGCCGTCAGATATTTATTATCCCTTTGCAACCGGGAGTCAAAAAAACTCGCATACATTAGTAAGAACTTAGAATACGTTTCGAAACTATTCAGATGTCATGGAAAAATTACTGAAAAAAATCACAAGCAAGCTGGTCTTCAGCAATCAGACCCTCACATTCATGAGGCTCAGGAATAATTTGCTAGTCGCACGATCGTGAGTGTATGTAAATAATGAATGATTTAGGTCAAATAAATGAAATAATAAATATCAATTAAAATAAAATATGGATATTTATGTTTTCCTATTACTTTAATCAGTCTCTATTACAATTATATATAAAAATAAACTGTAATTATTTATAAAATAACGTATTACAAATGAGATCTTCCTAATTTCTATAATCGGAACAAAAATAAACTATAATTACTTCAACAATCAACAAGATCTTAGGTTTTACTTATAACAATCAATGAGATCGACTTATTATTGTATATGATAAGCCTTAAAACAATTTTTATCACGGGATAAGCATAAATACACATTACATTTATCACACCTAATTTTTGAACGACTGCTGCAGGTTTCCAATCTACAAGTCCTCGGCGCTTTTATGTCGTCGCTGGTAGGAAAATGGTCATACCCATCGTATCGTTTTTCTGCTGACGGTCTATTTGCTGGTCTGTATATTTTATAGTCACGACTAGGAAATGATACCTGGTCATCATCTTCATTATCCTTTCGAGTTCTACTTGGTGTACGAGATAAGGCATCTGCCACATCCAAACGGAAATCGAGTAAAGGCATCGTGTCTTTCCTTGCATAATTGTTTCTGTTGCAGTCGTTTCTATACAGCCTCCAAGAGTTTACGAGCGCGAGGTCAAAAAAGTGTGTTAACAATTTTAAGGTCCATTTTTTTGTTTTTATAAAAGTTCTATAACACTCCATCTGTTGATCCAGGACATCAACTCCTCCCATGTGTTGATTATAATTTTTTACTATTTTTGGAGCAGTCACATCAACGTACCGTCTAACGGTTTTATCCCACCTTTTAACGATAATCGTCGCGGCAGAGCCAGTACAGTTGGATGCAAGTAATACGGATTTATTATCTTTCCACTTTACTATTGTAACAGGTTCGCAAACAAAATGTTGGCTTTCACCACGAGTCATTTGAGAATCCATTTTAAATTTTATCGTTGCTCGATCAGGGATACGATTCAACATTATTGTCCCAGTCGAATGCAGATTTAACTTGTTCATTTCTTCAATCAAAGGAACGGTTGTAAAGTATCTATCGTGGTAAACGCAGCTACCCGGGGGAATACTTTTTGCTAAATGTAAGATTACTGAAGGACCCAGACCGAGATTCGTATCACCAAACATCATCCTTGCACCCCTGTATATTTCAAAATCTAACATTAATCCTTCACTAGTTGTGAGGACGAAGTTTTTAATCCCCACAGGCCTAGGTTTGTTCTTCACTACCTGGCGAAGTTGACAGCGGCCTTTAAATGGTATCATTTGCTCATCGATCGAGTAAAATCCCGGCACCCTTTCTAATTTACTACAGGCACCTTTAATTTGGTCGATCATAGGTTGAACCTTCCATAGTGGATTACCAGTTTCGGATGCAGATGGAGAATCTGAGTCAACTACGTGTAGTGAATTGCGAAGGGTAAAGAACCTGTCCCGCGAAATTAAACCGCTGACAATTTCCAACCTAGTACCAGCCCTCCAATACATAGGCAGTCGGGGATAAGGAACACATCCCATGATTATTTGTATTGCAAGGAGCTTTGCGATCTCACTGCTTGTACTTTTCAATTCACGGCCCGTAGTCCGTAAGTAATATAAGTTAGTGCAGTGAGATATCCTTTCTATAAATTCGTTATCTATGTAGTCACGAAAGTAGTCGATAGGACGCCTTACTACTTTTGTAGGCAAGGGAAGATAGTTATGCAGTTTATCTACAAATGGAACCTGCTTCCATATTCTTTTCCTACCACTTGATGTTGATGCCGATCTATTCCCTTGAGAACATGGTGTTGACACCGATTTTCTTCCCCGAGTACTGGTGGTTGATCTCGATCGCTCAGAGGATAAATATACTGACCTTTCTCGATAACGACGCGACATGGATGATAATGATGGGCAAGACGGTTGCATTGTTGATGGACACTGCGTCCTCGGTGGAGGAGGATGTTGCGCCATTAATGAAGCTGGAGGTTGCAGCATCGATGTAGATGGAGGTTGTACCATCGGAGGACACATCAATACTGATGTTTGGTGACTTGTTTCTTCATCTTCATTAGGATTGTCACCATCGAAGAGATTTTCGCAAGCCAATTGATCAAATAGTGTATTTGGTTCAAATTCCAAGTCGTCATCATCAAAATCTTCAATCTCTGATAGATTTCCATTCATCAATTGGTCTAATATTACATCATCCGTAATTGGAACCCCTAATAAAGAAGAAAAGGCCATTTAAATACTGTATAGGATCAAAATAACAAAATGTAACAACATCACGTGCTACGACCGATGTTGCATGATCGTGCGTGTTTAATTTTGACAGAAAATAATTACGAAACTAATGCTTCAATTTGCAAAAACTTGATAAGTAAACCTACAGGCACTCGTATCTAATCAAATAGCATTAAATAATATAAAATATTCCAATACAATTACTAGAAATCGATCTACTTACGTGCGGGAGCACCGGGATTAAAAAACGCAGCCATCCCTCATGCGGCTTTCGACGATCTGGCAGGACGAAACGCGAGCACAGAGACTAAAACTATTTTTTGTCTCATTTTTAAGTAGACTCACGATAGATCGACGCCGGTTGCGTACGCTTAAGTTGTTTATATTTTTCCTTACAATTTTGTAAAGTCGAAACTCACGATCAGTTTTACTCGGGTGGAAAGGGTTATACGGATATTGCATTTTCCGCACCAAGAATTATTTGATCTCTGCAATGGTTTTGTATTGTAAGAAGTGATTTGAAGCAAAACACAAACGATAATTCAAGTGACACGCAGACGTTTTATTAACCATAAAAAAGTCATCGCGTCGGATATATTGATTAATTGTCGAACAATCGTGGTCACTCTAGTCGAAACGCTAATGATTTAGTCTAGTGCCGCTTGCTCTCAATAATCTTCAGATCCGTAGCACATGCACCGTCAATTATTCATTAAAGCCAGAGCACAGACTATGGAACGACGATATGATTAAGCATGCGCTTGTTATGATAATCAATTAATAAATCGTCATGTTGTAAACCTCACACGTTTTCATATATTCTTTAAAGAAAAATTCATAGCAATTATAACAGCTACGAAAATGAATTCCCCAGAGAAAAGAGTTTTTTTAATAAGTAAAAATAGAAAAATGAACACACGGTACATGCTCTATGGTAAGTGGATGATGCGGCCTATTGATATTTGCATTTATTGCCGATCAAGAATCAAAAAACAGATTTGTTTACACCTCTGAGAACTAAGATGGAATGCTTCCTTACCCGTAAACCCCGTTTTTGGTCACTTATTAGATTTTATGATGAGAATAAATTTAGTAGCTCTTCTCTCGCACCTATTTCTGCCATCACGCGGTGCATCTGCTGCTATAAAACGTAACTTGGTGATGGGACACCTTTCCTGTCTAGGAATCCGTCTGGGTAATTACCACCCTCTTACCAGCCAGTATCATTACAGATTGTAAGGCGTATCCATCTTAGTCCTAAGAGGTGACAACGCACCTGGTTTTTTTTATAGGGTAGGGTGACAAACGAGCACACAGTCCACCTGATGGTAGTGGCGGCAAGATCTGTCCTCGATTATGAATCAAAATGCAGATGAGTTGTCACCAGTTAGGACTAAGATGTAATGCCTCGTTTTCAGTAAAAGGGCTAGGACTCTCAAGTCGACGTCTGTCACCCTTATTGAATAAAAAAGATGAATAACCAGAAAATAAAAAAACTACGGTTGCTAGCCAGATTTGCGGTCGCGACAACTATGGCAAATATCTCCTTATGAGGTAACCTAGGGTTGCCAGGTCTTAAAACCGAAAAGCCGGACAGACCAGCGAGCTAAGCCGGACATTTTGGTAAAAAGACCGGACACCCTTGTTTTTTGTCTTAGTAACAGACATTTTTTAAAGTAAAACTGCTTTTTGTCATTTATCGTAAAATCTTCTTAAGTTCTAACGAAATAAAAACAATTGAATAAATCAGTCTTCTTTATTATTAATTATTCAATATTCATTACAATATTAATTTTAATATTTGCAAGTATGTATGTAAGTATATGAAAAATGTAACGAAATAGTCAAATTTAATAAGCCTATCAAAAGCCGGACATCGTCTAATTTGGCCGGACACGCAACCAAAAAGCCTGACTGTGTCCGGCTTTATCCGGACGTCTGACAACGCTAAGGTAACCTATGGGGAGGCCTACATCCTGTTGTGAACTATGATAGCCTGTGGTGACTATGATAGCCTGTGGTGACAGTGATGTAATTAACACTACTGTGCTCGTAGTAAATTTCACAATACACTATTAACCCGGGTTCGATCCCCACCGCCTTCAATTATTAATTACAACTTTAAGCATTGCACAGCTACTCGTACTTCTTCTACTCAGACAGAATCCTATGATTGATGACCAAATGATTATTACTTGAATGAAAATAGTTTCAACGGAATTTATCGCGTTTATTAACTCATTTTATAGTATCGAAGTTTCGAATTTACAACACCTATGGTCACGGAGGGACTACGGTGTTTGACGTTTGATTGTGATAGTTAACCAAAGCTTCCTTCAGTATAAAATTATTAATTTTTTATCTGATCTACTCAGAATGAGCTTATAGATTTAATTTTATCTATTATTGGATCGTAAGCAGATGGTAGCAACCAGCCATCTTCTCTATTGAAATTAGGATGTTTTTTTTTTTATTTCAATAGCATAGAAAATCATCCTTCGTAGTAATCGGTGTTCTTCTGTGAGGATTCGTCGTTTATCAAATCTGCACACACAGACGGCAGACTTCCCTGAGCGTCGATTCTTTACATCAGCAATGTATTCATTTAGTTATATTGATATTTAACCGCGTAAAAGTAAACATATATAATGTCGAATACCTCAGCCCACCCGTAACCATGGATGTTGTAAAGTCGGCAATATAAAATAAGTTAATATCGTGAGTGTCAAATGGTAAGCGTTAAAATTCGCTCGCGTACACATAAAAAATCATTAAGATTTTTTTTCATAAGATAGGGTGACAAACGAGCACGCAGTCCACCTGATGGTAAGTGGTTGCTGTGGCCTATAGACATCCACACCTATCCTCGATTAAGATTCAAAATGAAGATGCGTCGTCACCCGTGCGGACCAAGATTGTATGCCTCGTTGGCAGTAAAAAGGGTCTACGGTTCTCTACACTCACCATACAAAACACAGCAGCATTAAGCTACAATTTTACGCTGGTATTCTGTCAAAGCGTGGTCCTTCCCCGGTCGAGCCGACCCATTAGTGCTTCCACTATACTACTAATTTAACTGAAGCATGGCTCTACCACGCATAAAATTCTTGCTGCCTGGTAAAATTCCATTCAAAACATATCTAGTTACTATACATACTGCAAACATACTCGTCAGTTATACGTCACGTTTTTACACATCCATCAGCCGCTAATGAAGCTGCAATATTATGGACGAACATTCAGCCGCCCTTTTATAACACATTAAGGATTTCATTACAACGTCGATCCACGCGCATCTCTTGCTACCCTGACTTAAGCTGACACACCAAAACACCCCTTATTGATACGGAATATTGTCGAGATTTGCTTGCGTTGCACCAGTATAATCAAATTTGTGCGCCGGGTGGCGTAACATATTAACATTTAACGCCGTGACTTAGTTAAAGGTTAACCCGAAAAGGAATACGACGCTTTCATTATGACAACACTATGAAACATTGATAATTTTGTAAGTTATAATACTGCACACATAACTAAACCCGCCATAAATAAAACACATTTAGTGAAGACTAGCTGTTCCCCACGACTTCGCCCACGTGGAACTTATTACGATTGAATTTCTCGGTTTTACATTCTTTTGCACGGAATCCTAATTCTTTTTCCAAAATATAAGTAGCTTAAGTTACTTTTTATAACATAAAATATTTGCTAGTGAAAGTCGCGCACAAATCGGCTGAACCGTTTCGGTGATAAGCCGAAACAAACAGACAGATAAATATTTAAAAAATTGCATTTTTTTTTTGTAATAAGTATCAAATATACTTTCATATTCATATGCATTTAGTAGAAAGCTGTTATTTTGATATTAGAAACAGACACCAATTTAATTTATTTGTATAGATTGTTTGGTACTTCGCATTTTGTGCACAGTAATAAATGGTCTCGGGACTGTAATTTCCAAAGTTTCAATCATCTATAACGATGACGATTATACTGATTTATGACTTTTTGACCTGAACTTCGAAATTCAAAGCCAAATTAGATATATTATACGCCTACTTTTTAGTGTACTAAGTATTGGGCTGGGGACGTCAATGGTTTTTGTTTTGATCAATTAATTTTTCCTTTCTTTCTTTCTTTACATTTATAGGAGAAGCCTGTTTTGCAGTTGACTTGTGATGAGCTTCATGATGATGTATTAACTACGAGTGACGTGGTGTAAGAACATAGGTTAATGTACTAGGATAAGCGACTTATTTGACTATGTATAGCGACATCCTAAACAAAATGGGCACAGGCGTTTTATGGAGGAGCCAAGACCGCACTCCATTGCATGTAGACTTTATACTGTGGTAGACTTTACATGTTCTCGATTCCTATTTAGAACTCGAAATATTCACCGCTGATTATTATAAATTAATTTTATCGAAGCGGTTTCATTTTTTTAATATTTTTCTATTTTATTTTTCTTTTCTGTATACTCTTCGCACTAAATCCAAGACTTAACAAACCAAAATATCATGAAAGATCAGCTAAGACATTGTCCTTCGAACCCTGGACCAAACAGTACGACAATCGCTGTGCTGTGAAGAACAAAATTAAACCTCGGTGGAAATTCAAGTTCCATTCGAAACAGCGCTCGCTAATTCCGAACGGCGGGAGCTTTCCCGTACCATTGTTTACGCTTTCGAGCACGTCCGCAAACACGTTTCGAATCTTGTTTGTTTTGGACGTCTGTATTGCATAGATTCGACGGCAGACCGTTTAGGTGTTCCTAAACTCCCCGGTATGGGGACGCTTCGAAATGCGCACAATTGTTTGGGAGAAAATTGATTTTCGCATTGTGAACCCAGCTACGGCACAATAGACGCTGGTTCACAACAGACTCCGGATGTGCAGCTACCGCTTGGAGTTCCGCAGTCCTTACACTTAAACAATGAGCTATTAGCGATTTTTGTTCGGATTAATTAGCATAATTTCGTTTTTGATTTAATTTTTCCATATTTTTGTCAAATGAAAACTAATGGAACTAAATGGTCAAAACGAACTTTAGAACTTGGCTAGGTGTTAGGCCAGCTTTTTTGCATAATGTCATTGTGTCCTTCTGCCTTGTGTCCTGTTCTGTCAAACAGCAGTGCCTGCAGTGTCCCGTCTGCCGGGTGCAGAGAGCCAGCTCCTATAGTTACATGCTGTCAGGTATTTCAACTCACTCCCCAGAGATGACAACGCATCAGTAGTCTTCTTTGTGTGAAGTTGG